ATTCTACCATTTAAAATAGCCTGTGACATGAAAATCTCATAACGTCCAATGAGAGTAGATTTTTCAATTAAAGTGTTATGCCTGTTAGTATTACAGCCTATACAAATATTAGCTAGGACAATACAATTTACAATGTGTCTTCCTTCTATTGAGTTTATCTCATTTAATCAATGAATGTATGAGCTAGGTTATTAATTATTCCCATTTCATAGATAAGAAAACACTGGCTTAGAAAGAGTAAATAAATTGCCCAAGATCAGAAACCAATAAATATCAGATGATTTTCAAACCAAGGTTTTCAGACTCTGACGCTGAAGCTCTTTCTGCAAGGTTATGCATATCCCATCAGCAAGAGTTGGAAGGAGTAGGCACAACAAAATGAGACGCCCCATATGAAGGAGCTTAAATGCACTGGAAAATGTATTTGATCAATATAAGGATTAAAAGAGGTTTTGGATATGATTGTGCTGAAAGAAACTTTTGCAACTCTGGGAAAGATTTTATCCCATACCCTTTAGAGTCATGAATAGACTAAATAAACGTTAAAAGACAGAGTAGCTGTGTCTTAAATAAATAAGTAGTACTGGGGGTGAGAAGGAGGAGGGGAAAAGGAAGAAAAAAGGGAGCAAGATTAATGGTAGTAAATGAGTATTTATTCCACAATTTTCACAACAAGCACCTAACAACTGCTAAGAATCCCTTATAGATTACATGATGAAAAACCAGAGTCACACCTAGCTATTTATTTCTTTAATGCTTTCAATTCTTTCAATATCCAAAAACTCTTCAGGATTAAAAAATAACTACAGGAAGTCTCCTGACCCATCTTAGTTATTTTCTGGACTTGTTCCTACTGGGGATTGGATAGGAATCTAAAGTCAAAGACAGTCATTTAGAGGAAGGTGAAAAAACACACCATACCAACAGATATTGTTTCATGCAGATTAATAATAAATAATAATAATAATAATAATAATAAATACAGGAACAAAACAAACAATTCAAAAATGTATTGTGATACCAGCAAAGAGAAAATTGTACTGCCAGACCACAGTATGAAATTATGAATTAGTGTATATGTATATGCCTATAAACTCAGGAAAAGGGGCAGTTAGGAAGAAAGAGAAGAAAATTAATTCTTAATTCCATGCAAGGATTAAAGCTACTGAACAAAAGATTGTCACACTGAGAGCTTTCAAACAGACCCCTCACTTCTGGAAATTGTCATCATTTCATATTTGTTCATCATCCCTTTCCAGTGGACCCATCTGCTACTCATGGAAACCTACAATTGTCGTTAATGAATCCAGTGTTCTCTAAGTTTTCCATAAAGGGATCTTTTAAGGAAATGAACGTGAGTAGTGCAACTGTTCTTAAAAGAATAGGCTGTCAGTTGTGCATTGTGACTTTCCCTGCACTCCTCCATGCTCTGAAGTCTTAATTAGAGCTACAGCTATCCTGAACTATTTTGGCCTTTGACTTTATAGCACAACATATAATTCCTATTGGAATAGTAAAGCAGTAACTTCAGTATTTGTGAAAACTGAGTAAAGTTTATAAGCCTATCAAAATACCTCTTGCTTCTTGTAAATATTTACGAAACATTTCTGAAATGTTTCTGAAAGTTAAGATCTTCAGAGTTAGCAGGATCCCAAGAGGGACCCCACTTTCCACCTTGCTTCCCTGCGAGTGAAGCAAGTCCTGTACTCTGAAAGAGGCAAGGAGAGCCACAGGCATCCAGGAGGAGAGTCAGAGGAGATGGACTACAAGAGGAGGGGACAACAGGCCTCTCACGCCATGTAGGCAAATGGCATGCTTTGACCATTAAAAGCTTAGCAGTCTCCATTAAAAATGGCACCTGGATTCCCAAGAGATGTGAGAAATGAAGTAGGAAGAGTGTGGTCTCACTTCACATAGCCATCTTTCATATATAGCCTTTACTTCTTATTCCTACACCATTTCTGAAAAATAAGTTCACATAATTGCTCTTGGCAGGAATTTGAAATAATGCCTATGTGAAAGAAACTGACAAAATTTAGGGTCTCACCATAGATTCCAAAGGGCTACTGCTCCTTGTATAAGCTACTAAATGGGAATTATAGGAATACCAGACTCACTGAGTTATGACCATTAAATGACAAAATTCATGAATACTTGGCTTGGAATGAGAAAGAACTGGAACCTACTGTTATTAGGTGCTGCCGTTGTTCCTGTTGCTCTAAGAAGCTCTGCAGGAGCCTGGGCTGCTCCAGAGAAACTCTGAGTGGTGCGGCCTTTTGCTGCTTCATACCTTCCTAGCTAGTTCTGAGAGATACTCACACCTTGATGCCTAATTCTCTTTAGATTAATGTAGAATTTGTGAAACATTTCCACTAGAACAGCATAGCAATAACAAGAAGATCGTGGTTACTCATGGTTACTCGACCATTTGCAAACCATGAGGTTCCTTGACATTCGCTTTAAAAGCGTTATTGTTACTTACCATCTCATGTCTCCTCCTTTTTTCCCTCTTTTGGACATAATTTAATCAGGCCTTTGATTTCACTGTTACAATAAAGCAGCTCTTATCAAGGCCTCTTATAATTTCCAGAATAACCTTCAACTCTCCCTCTCTGATGAAAGACATTTTTCTCTTAATACCACTCACTTGGTTCACCTCCAAATTTGTCACCTTTTCCTATGCCTGTTCCTTTACAAGTCTCTTCTCATCTTCCCAACTTCCAAATGATGAGTGTTCCAAAACTCTGCCCTGTGGGCTTTTCTTTTCTTTTCTTTTTTTTTTTTTTTTTTTTTGAGAGAGAGAGAGAGAATTTTAATATTTATTTTTTAGTTTTTGGCGAACACAACATCTTTGTTGGTATGTGGTGCTGAGGATCGAACCCAGGCCGCACGCATGCCAGGTGAGCGCGCTACCGCTTGAGCCACATCCCCGCCCCAGACTTTTATTTTCTCTACACTGGCAATCTTTACAGACACGTGGCTTTAAATGCATTTTATATACCAATGACTCCATAATGTGTATCTCCAGCCTGAATATCCAACTACTTACTCAGTATTATTTCCACTGAAACACTAAACTGGTTACTTGAAATGTATCTTGCCCAAAATCAGATTTGGAATATTTACCTCAAAATCTGTTCCTCTCATTTTCCTTCAACTCAGTAACTGACAACTCTCTTTTTAGTTGCTAGGAAAAAAATTCCTTGAACTTATTATTGACTCTTCTCACACAGAGTCTGAACTGTCAGCATATTCAGTAGGTTTTACCTTCAGAATACATAGAGAGAATATAACTTGTCATTAGCTCCACCACTACCCACTAAATAAGTGAAATGGGAAACTATTCGGGGAACTCTGAGCAGAGAAATGGCCTGACATGATTTAGGTTTAAAGGGACCTCTGCCTTCATTGGCAATGAACTACAGAAGATCTCTGGCAGAAACAGGAGTCAATCACAAGCCTATCTCATTGATCCAGATACTAGATAGTATTTATGGCTGCATCCTCCCCACAAGCTAGAACCATTTCTGGCTCATAATAAGTGTGAATAACTGTTGAATGAGGGAATAAATATCAGCGGATGGATTCAGGGGGGGCTGCAACAAAAGAGAGTTTATTATGATGGAAAGTAGATTAGACAAGGCATCCTCTTGGTGCAAAACACACCACAGAGCATCAAAGTATATAATATGCATTGCACGCTTGATAATTGTCTGTTTGGAAGATAGACTGATGAATTGACCAGGGGAAGACAAGAGAGACAAGTTCGAATTGAAGGAGAATGGAGTAAGAAGACCCACAAAAATCTATCCAGAATCATGGCCAAAATACTCAAGGAAAGCAATGTGAGGAAGACAGCTGGCCTTCAAAGTTTTTTTTTTTTTTTTTAAATCTCGCTACACTTAAAAACCATGTTTAAACATTCAGTATTTCATGACATTGGCCACAGTAGTTCTAGTAATGATTTTATTTGTTCTGTGACAAAATTAAAATTATAAATATTTTATCAAGCCAAACTTTTAAAATATTTATTAAAACACTGTTTTAACCTAACTGACCATGGCACCTTGCTTAAGCATGTCTTGTGGCTTTAAATGCCTCTTATATACCAATGACTCTAAAATGTGTGTCTCCAGCCTGAATATCCAGCTACTTACGCAGGTTCTGCTCACTATTCATATTGATGCTTCACATTCTTCACTTGACCAAACCTCTGTCACATGACACACACTTTACCTTTGTCAGCTATTTATCATGTAAGTTTGGACTTGCTCTTTGGTGATACAAATACCCCAAAAGACTAAAAAGTCTCTTTTTCTCTCCCAAGAAATTCTCAGTGGCATCAAAAATTCACTGTTAGTTTGCTTCTCTGCCATCTTGGTCATTTCAAGGAGCAACCCTGATACAGAATTTCCTGGGAGAGGCTAAGCAGCCATCTCCCAGTGGCCTGGGCTTAGAAGCAACAACCAACCCTTGTGCAATGATAGTTCAGCACTACGGACAGCAATATGCTGTTTGTGTGCGCCCCCCCCAGATGATTTTAAGCATGTTCTAACTATACCCCAAAAGTACCCATCTTACGTTAGTGAGTGCCAAAAAATCCCATAATTATAACAGGTGAGATGTATTAAATACTGGTATTTGTTAAGCATTGTACTAATCTATTTGGCCCCATAGTTTAGTTCTTTCAATAACCCTGCAAGATATGTATTTTTACTTTCATTTATGAATAAAGAATCTAAAATTCAGAGAGACTAAGCAACTTGCCAAACATCAACAACTAATAAGTCTCCAGAGTGGGTTCCTTGATCCCTTTACCACACATGCCCCCCACACACACACACACACACTCTCCTTCTGGGAGTCTAGTGGAGGCCTCAGTTCCTCTAGCTCACTTCTAGGTAAGAGCCAGTGAGTGGAAGGTCCTGTCTCAGGTGGGGAAAATACGGTAGCCATCAGAGACACACAAGGAAAGCCATCATTGTATAGGAAAGAGAAGGGATTTCTGAAAACAGGTTTTACCTGGGCCCATCTACAAGTTACTCCTGAGGTCTGTAGGGTACAAAAACCATAGTGATAGGCACATTCCATTTACAAACACTTGAACAGATTTTCCTTTTCATGCTTCTGATCCCCAGAGCATTGCAGTTTCCTAATCAGTCCCTCGTGTCTGTTCCCGATTGTGTATCTGAGAGTCAGCCAGCCAAGATGCAAAGTCCTTGGCCACGGTGGCACTGGCTTCCCCAGGATGGCTGCCTCGTCATCTGAAAGCTGCACAGGCTCTCTGATCTCCCACTTGGACGAGGCTGCAGCCAGGCCTTCCCTTCCCTGGAACACACCTCCTGCCCCCCTCTTCTACTGCGGCTCTGGGCAGCATCCCTCTGTCTGGGTGCTCCTCACACCTCCGTGACACCTCCAGAGCTCTAGTCTTTACAACGACAATGCCCTTCACACAGGTACTTAGCTTTTGGTCCTCCCTGGTTCTTTCGTTGGCTCTGGGGAATCCTGCACCCTTGGTTGGTGCTCTGCAGCTAGAGCAGAGAAATTCGTGCTGAGCCAGCAGGTGGGGTTGTGGTGTGCCTTCCAGGTCCTGTGGGCAGCCCTGCCACTAGCCTCATGAGGCCACCATATTCCAGCTTTGGGTTTCTATTCTGGATCTGAGAGAGGCATGCTGACAGGGTGGCAGGCTTCCAGTCTTCTCTGTCTCCTCCTCACATGGGACTACTGCATTCCACAAGAACTGAGAGCCACGGACGTCTGCCTGCACTGATCTCTATAGAAGAGCAATACCTACTGGAGGGTCTGATGTGCTTGCCCGTCACATGAATGATCTTTTCCACTCTTCACAATGACTCAGTTACGCTTAGACTTTCATTACCCTGTTTTACAAATAGCAAAAACAAAGGTGATTTTAGAGCAGGAATTTCACAATGATTTTCTCTTACATAGCTGTAACTCCAGGGCCTAGAACAGTGCCTCCACCGGTGCTCAAGAAGTAACAATTAAGTTCATGAATAATGAAGCCAAGGAAGATTCACTCAGCACAAGTAAATGTTAAATGATGTTCAGTTATTTGTCTTGGTTTAGTTTGAGTTGTTTGGTAACTGAAGATTGAAAAAGGAATACTTTTCCACTGAGCTACATCCCTAGCCCTTTCTATTTTCTTATTCTGAGACACAGTCTCACTAAGTGGCTGAGGGTCTTGCTGTTATAGAGGCTGTCTTCAACTTTGCAATTCTCCTGCCTCAGCCTCCCAAGTCACTGGGATCACAGATGTGTGCCACTGAACCAGGCTTAAAGAATATTTTTGGAAGTGGGACTTCTGTGTTCCTGTACAATGTCCATGCGGACATTCTGTGAGTAGGTTCAAGGCAGCAGTCAACATGGTAGGGTCTCGTGGGAGGTGAAGCTGGGAAGAACATGGACCTCAGCCCAGGTCCCGGATCCATGGTTTACTATGTGACACTGGACAAGTCATTTCAATTTCCTAATGTGCAAAATGAAAATAACATCATCCACTTTTTAGTATGTAATTTTAATGTGTCTTGCAAAAGTGAAAATATGCGAAGTCCTAGCAAAAAAAAAAGTTGTATACAGGCTCAACAGCCTGCAGTTATTGCATAATGATACTGAGCCTCACGAGGAAGCACAACACCATTTTTATGACATTCCTGCCAAGAACACACAATCCAAATCAAATCATGGGGTCATGTTTCACAAATCCAAAAGAGGAACATTTTACCATATAACTGTCCTATCATCTTCGTAAGTATCAAGGTTAGGAAAGACATGGAAAGACTTGAGAAGCTATTCGAGACCAAAAAGACCAGTGACAGATGACCACTAAATGCCACAGAGCATCAAGAATTGGATCCTCAGGAGTGGGGCTGTACATCCACTGATATACAGAGTGCTCGCCTCGCACGTGTGAAGGACTGAGTTTAATCCTCAGCACAATATAAAAACAAACAAATGAAATAAACACATTCTGTCCATCTACAACTACAAAAAAAGGGTTTTTTTTAATGTAAAAAAAAGAATTGGATCCTCTTTCTATAAAATCCATTGTTGGGAAAATCAGTAAAACTTGAATGAGCTCTAAGGATTAAATGGCAGTAATACATTCGGATGTTAATTTCCTGGTTTTGATACTTGGAGGGAAAGTGTTTGTTTGTCAGAATTACACATGAAAGTTTTCAATGACGACAGGACATCATGTTGGCAACTTTCCTCATTTGATTCTGGGAAAAAAATATTTGTGATAGTCCAGTAAACTTTCTATAAGCTTTAAATTTTATTAAAATAGAAAGAGAAAGAAAAATTAATTGAGGAACAAATATAGAAAAATTTTAATAAATGGAGAGATATTTGAAATTTCTAGAATGGAAAAAACTATACATGGCAAAAAAAAGTCATTTTTTCTAAATAAATTTTACAAAATCAATACACTTCAAATAAAATTTTATTTGAAGTCCTGTGGGTATAACTTAGTGTTGGAGCAATTGTTAGCTCATGCAAGACCCTAGATCCAATCCCCAAGCACTGCAAACAAAATTTCAGAAAATTAAAAATTGCATTAGAAAGTCGAATTAATTCTAAAGTTCCTTCTGAAAGAATAGGGGTAAAAAGAGCCAATAAAATATGGAAATTAAACATTGCAGGGAGAAATTTTCATTACATGGAATTTAAATGTATTTCAAAGCTTTAAGAATCCTAAGAGCAAGGCACTGAGACCAGTCTATATGACACAACACTTCAGCAAAATTAAAAGACACCAAAGAGTCAAGTACAAAGATAACTATTAGGATCACAGGTAAATAATTTGGCAGGCAGGAAAATATGAATATGTATTTAATATATAATAATTTTTTCAAAAAATATAAATTATAGAATATCATTTCCATCAAATTCCATTTATATTAAAATTTAAATACAAATAATGAACACACGTGAATAATAGACACACAAATTAATACTTATAAAATCTTGGGGCATAAAAGAACTTTATAAATATGACACCAGAGGTAGGAACAAGAAGGAAAATATGGATAGAATTATGTATATATGAGTTTAAAACACAGGTACATCAGAAAGTACACAAAGAACCCATTCATTTCTACAATTAATATTCATGAAGAGTTATAATTTTTTAAAAAATTTTTTAGTTGTCAATGGACCTTTATTTTATTTATTGATACATGGTGCTGAGAATCAAACCCAGTGCCTCACACATGGTAGGCAAGCACTCTGCCACTGAGCCACAATTCCAGCCCAAGAGTTATAATTTTTTTAAAGAACATAAATAAAGGTGAAATGTTTTTAACAAAAATAGCAGAAAGTTCACAATCCTTACTATTTAAATAGCATTATATATCAATTAGAAAATATATACTTAGAAAAAAATAAGGAATAATTATATAAGATGAAACAGAAAGGGCCAGTAGTCGAGCTATAGAACAAACCTAGGGGCCCTTCAACAGATGAATCAATACAGAAAATGTGGTATATATACACAATGGAGTATTACTCAGCCATGAAGAAGAATGACTTCATGGCATTTGCCAGTAAATGGATGGAACTGAAGACTATCACACTAAGTAAAATAATCCAGTCCCCAAAAGTTAAAGGTTGACTCTTTTCTCTGATATGTAGAAGCTATTACTAAATAAGGGAGATGGGATACAAAAAAAAGAATAGAAGAAAGATCAGTGAGGTACACAAAGGGGGATGAAGGGAAAGGAGGAGAATTGGAATAGGGAAAGACAGTGGAATGAATCGGACCTAACTTTCCTACGTACCTAGGTGAACACACCATGGAGCATCTCACCATCATGCACATCCACAACACATTTATTTTATAAAAAAATTTTTAAAAAAACTATAAGTAAATAGCAGAAAAATTGGTAGAGGAAGGGAGAAGGGGCAGGGAGGAGTGGAGGGTTAGGGGAAGTACTAGGGACTGAACTAGAACAAATTATATTCCAGGCTTTTATAATTATGTCAAAATGACTTCTAATGTTATGTATAACTAAAAAGAACCAATAAAAAATAAGAAAAAAATAAATACAAATGGCCCATAAACATATGACATTTAATGTTGAACTTCTTTAGAAATAAAATAATTTCCAATTATCAAATTAACATGAATTACATCTCAATCCAAGAACACTATTTATAATACTAATAAAATATTGGAAGCCAGAACAACTTTTGAAAACAGGTAAACTGTAAAATAATTTATGATATTACGGTACACAGAAATACAAGGTGGTCTCCAGCATTTCTTGTCCCTGGTATATGTGCTCTGCAGACTAGTGAGGATTTTGACTGCAGTAGATTTTACCCCCTGAAGAGGTGACATTGTCTGACACAGCTGACCCTTTATGGGAGACCGTCCCACAAGCCTCACTTGATCATTGGAGCCCTTTAAGGTAGAGATTTCTCTCTAGCTGAACAGAGGAGGGAGTCGGGGATTCAAACATGATGACTCAGTGCGCTGCTGCTGGCGTGAAGACAGGGAGCACACGTCAAAGAAGGCAGGTGGCCTTAAGCTGCTAAGAGTAGACCCCAGCTAACAACCCGCAAGGAAACCAGGACCTCGTCCCACACCCTCAGGGAACTGAAGTCCGTCAGGGAGACCAGCTTAGAAGCAGACCCTTCCCAGAGCCTCCAGATAAAAACTCAGCCCAGATGACACTGATTTCGGCCTTGGGACGGCCTGAACAGAAACCCAGGCATGCCATGTAGTCTTCTGCCTACAGAAATGCAAGTCAATAAGTGGGTATGAAGTTGCTAAAGGTGTGGTCGTTTGTTACACATCAATAGAACACTAACACAGATCGTTTGGGTTAGCTTTTGTCATGTGACCAAAAGAACAACCTAAGAGAGAAAGTTTACCGTGGCTCACGGTTTCTGAAGTTCTGTCCACGTTTGGTCCACTCTGTATCTCTGGGCCTGAGGTGAGGCAGGTCATCCTGGTGGAAGGGTGTGGCAGAAGAAAGACGCCCAGGACACCATAGCCAGGAAGCACAGAGACGGACGGTCCCTCTCTCCAGGGACAAAATATAGACTCCAAAGATGTACCATGCAGTAACCTCACTCCTCCAGGACAGCGTTCCTGCCAGTGACCGCCCAGTTAGTCCATATCGGTGGACTAATCCACTGATCAGCTTACAGCTCTCCTAATTCAATCTTTTCACTTTTGAACATTCTTGCACAGTCTCACACATGAGCTTTTGGGAGATACCTCATATCTAAACCATATTGCACGATGATGCATTCACAATAAATATTTCATAGTGATCAAATATACTTTCACTAGAGTACAAGAAAATTGGCTACTGTTTATGATATAATAGTTTTTTTAAAAAGGAAACAAACCCCAATGTATCTTATGCTTGAAGTCTTATTTAATATGTATACACAGAAGAAAGAGTACATGGAAATATATCAGAATGGCATCAGAGCTAATATCTGGTGAAAGGACTGAGTATTTTAAATTTCTCCCTCATATTTTTCTGATCCAATTTCTCCAAAATGAAGGCATATTACTCTAACAAGCAGAAATAAAATCAGCAATACAACTGCCAAGAACAAAGCATCTGGTTTTGAAGGGCTGCTAAAGTATTCCAGCTAGTTTATCAATAAGATGGAAAAGAACTCTTACACAGCATTTTTATACTAGAATTATGAATTAAACTCTGTTACGGAATAAAAATACACAAACACAAGTCAAACACAATAGGACGGCTGTGCTTTTCTGGTCACATGTCCCAGATGGGACATTAATTCTGAAGCCCGAGTCTGCCCCACTTGGCAGCCTTGCAGTCCCGTTGGTCTCTGCTTCTGAGGGGGAACCTTGGAAGCGCCACAATATCAG